AAGATGGCCCATATTATTCCTTTACCTAAATCTTCCAACCCCTGCTCACCTTCCCAATACAGGCCTATTTCCATACTTCCTTTCCTCTCCAAAGTTATGGAACATCTTGTTCACAAGCAGCTTACTTCCTACTTATCTTCTAATAACCTAATTTCTCCATTTCAGTCTGGTTTCCGCCCTGGTCACAGTACCGTTACGGCTCTGCTCAAAGTGACTGACGACATTCGTTGGGCCATGGACAACAAGTCACTAACTATTCTTGTGTTACTGGACTTCAGTTCGGCCTTCAACTCCGTGGATTTTGATATCCTCTTGGGTGTTCTGAAGGCCAACAACTTCTCGTCCTCTTCTTTGAACTGGTTTGAATCATATCTTCGGGGTCGTCGGCAGCGTGTACGCTTGGGGGAAGTTTTTTCCGACTGGTGTGACCTCGTTGCTGGCGTGCCTCAGGGTGGCGTCCTTTCTCCTGTTCTTTTCTCTATGTTTATAAATACCGTTGCCAAGGTAATCTCCTCTAATTTCCATCTCTACGCAGACGATCTGCAGCTTTACCGTCACTTCAAACTATCGGAGGTTGGTCCTGCTATCGATGCTGTAAACCGCGACTTGGACGGGATTGATAAGTGGGCCAAGTCCTTTGGTCTCCAAGTCAATCCGCTTAAGTCTCAGGCCATGATCATCGGTAGTCGATACTTCCGCAGCGCTCTGGACATCTCTACCCTTGAGCCCGTGCGCCTGAATGGCACAGTGATCCCTTACACTGAGACTGCTAAGAATCTGGGGGTAATCTTCGACTCCAATCTTCTATGGGGTGCACAGGTGAGTGAGGTCAGTCGAAGAGTCCATTTCTCCTTTCACTCGCTGAAGCGTCTCCGGTCCTTCTTGCCATTTAAAACTAAAATTCACCTCGTACAATCCTTAATTCAGCCTTTACTCGACTATGCAGATGCTTGCTATTTGGACGTCACAGAGGAGCTACTAAATAAGCTTGAGCGGCTGCAAAACGTTTGTATTCGCTTTGTCTTCGATCTTAAGAAGTACGATCATGTCTCAGTATACCGCACTAAGCTCAAGTGGCTCCCAATCCGACTTCGCCGGAACACTCGCATTTTGTGTCTCCTTTATAATGTCCTTAACAACCCAGCTTATCCTATATATCTCCGTGACCGTTTTTCCTTGGCTCGTCCTCCTGAAGCCCTATCTAGATCCCACCTTAAGTCCCTTCTTGAAATCGTTCAACATAAATCCGATTTCTACTCTTACTCCTTCACTGTTCATGCGGTGAGATTGTGGAATTCGCTGCCGCCTAACATACGCGACTCCAAGTCCATCTCCATTTTTAAACGACTTGTCAGGGATTATTATCTTTCGTCCTGAAGTGCAGCTTTATTTATATATATATTTATCTATATATACATACACATATATATATATTTATATGTAATCGTGTTTATATATTTCTAATTATTTTATTTATTATTTTGTTATGTTCCGGTCATTTTAGTTTTAAGTTCTTTCAGTTATTTTATATTGTTTTGTATCTGTTGCATGTATCATTTACACTGTGTCTTATATTTAATTTCCTTTTCCTGTCGCAGGTCTGCAGGAAGAAATCCCTTAAGGGATATGCAGTACCTATGTACCTCATACTTGTAATGTGTCGTCCTTTGTAATATTGTCTGTGTGGTGTAGGTATATGAAATTATAAATAAATAAAATAGTTTATTTTGCCAACAAGTAGTGTGACATACAATAGTGAATTTTATGTACCAAATTTTATGTTATTATTAATTTATATAATTTTAATGTTATTATTAATCTACCATTGTTATATGACTTAATTTATTGACCATGACATGAACAATTATAACTCTCTTGACATTCTGTACGTTTTAATCCTTTGACATTTCTATAATTTTGTAATATTATTGTAAGCATATAATGTAATTAGAAAAATTGATTGCCTAAAGACTGTATAAATATTTGCACATCTATTTAGGTAATGATACAGTGCACTATATATCCATATGTAACATCTTTTATACCTGTATTATGCAAATAAATGATTTGATTTGATTTGATTTGATTTTCACTATATACCATGTGCCATGTACCGGCACATTTCCGGATTCCCTGCGACTCTATTGAATTTCCATCGAAAAATTACTTCGGCAAATAATTTTAAAGATAAATCACTCAAGCAATCCAATTAATTATGACGCCAATTACTTTTTTATTTCTATTTTTATGGAACAGGAGGCAAACGAGCAGACGGATCATATATGATGGTACCTAAGCGATCAGCGCCGCCCATGGACACCGTAACACCAGAGGAAGCATAGATGCGGCCGGTCGACTAAATATTATTGATTTGATTTCATATCCTTCTCAATCTACACAATAATTATATAATCAATAATTCAGTCTGCATTGTTACTAAGTCATAAATAAGATAGGAAACATATGAAATCATCGATCTAGCCACAGGAAATTATTTTCCTTTCATTATCTTAATCTTAAGCCATTTCTTATTCGTTACAAGCATTTTTAATCTTATCACTATGATTATAAGAGTTATTAAACGGATTCCTTAATCGTTTATCTTGTTTATACATTGTTATGAATGGAGAATATTATGTCGTACGATGCTTTACATCATTCAGTAATTATGTCATTCGTTTTGTCTAATCTTGCCTTTAGGAATTTGATTTGTTGTCAATAGTTTGTTACGTAATATTAATGGTCTTAAGAGGTATGGTAATAGGTTTTTTTTGAGGGTGGAAAATCTTTCAATAACTTCTCCCACCTGGATGAGGCGAGACGGAGTGTCAGACTGTTACTGACTAAAAATCACCCCGTTCTTACTCCTGCAATTCCAGCCGGAGCCGCCAAAGGATTGCCGCTTTCAACCTCCGTGGCTCCGATGGTAATGGGCCGGCTCAACCCCTACCTATTGTATGGGACTTATAAGATAATTACTAATATGTGACAGTTAAGTACCATCTACCTCCGGAGCTGTGAATGGCTTGGCTCCGACTCGAAGCGGGTTTAGGAATGGGCTGATTTTTATTCAGTAAAAGTTGACGCTCGTAATGTCGGGAGTAGTCTTTTTTTTAAATAACGTTGCCCCACACTAGTATTTTCTCCTGTGTCGTGGGTACGTTTACCAACATACAAGTTTACATACACATGACAAACAAGACAGTTACTCATGTCCCTGGGACGCGCCGGACTTCAGTGTTCCGGTGTTTTCATGGTTGTATCTACTGTAGATCCTGGCTTACAAGAGTTGCAGCGGTTTTGGGAGGTTGTGGGCGTGGCGGGCTTGTCCCAATTAAAAAAAAATACACATGACAGCCAAACCTGGAACAACAATCTGTGGGTCACACAAAGAGTTGCACCGTGCGGGGCTCGAACCTGTAACACGTTGCGCGGCATCTATTTACCCAGCTACCGCACCAACACAGTGCAGTCAAAAAAGCACGAGCAAATAATAATGAGTACGGTACATAAGATTTTAATTTGCAGTAGGTAACTATATTTACACTGTTAGATTCAAATAAATGTGTAAGCGCAGTTTTAAGAAATGTTTTTTTTTATGGCATAAGACGGTAAACGAGCAGACGGATCACCTGATGGTAAGCAATCGGCGTCGCCCATGGACACCTGGAACACCAGAGGCGTTACAAGTGCGTTACCGGCCTTTTGGGAATTAGGAGTTTGAGGATCGTTGGGGATTCAGGGAGTGGAAAGATTGGGGAAGGGGAGAGTAATTGGGGCTCCGGTAACCTCACTCACACGATGAAACACAACGCAAGCGTTGCTTCACGTCGGTTTTCTGTGAGGCCGTGGTATCACTCCGGTTGAGCCGGCCCATTCGTGCCGAAGCATGGCTCTCCCACACTTATGTGCCTAGATAAGATCGAACGAAGACGAACCCTATTATTTCGTTAATTAGAGTATTTAAAAGTATTTTTAAGCTGCAACATATTAAATAAATAAATAAACTTGAACTAAGTCTTTGTGTGGGTATTATGAGTACTTATGAGTACATTAAAATAAAAATTAGTCATCTACCCGTTTGTAGCAACAAGAGTCTGATCTAAAGACTGGCACAAGGTGTACTTTTTCGTGGACAACACATAAGTGTAATGTAAAAACTATCCGACTTGGAGTTTTTTTAATATCTTTCTGATAACTGTAGGAACCTTGCCGGTCACCTGGTGCCATTTGAGCGTCGACTTCAGAGACACCCTGTATAATTAATCTGAAGAAAATATAAAAACTTATTAATAGTAGGGGGTGTTAATAGATAGACACCGAACCCAAAAATGTGATTTAAATATTTTTGTCTGTCTGTCTATATGTTTACGCATCACGCAAAAACTACCGAACCGATTACGATGAAACCTGGTATGATTATACTTTAATATCATGGGCATCGTGTACTTTATATCTAATACAATACAATTACTGTACCAAACGCAAATATAAGTTTCTCGAATGTTAGGTTGTCAGCAGTGGACTTTACGCTGTAACTGTAGGGCCGATGGTTATAATTAGCTTGAACCGATATTATAAATACGAAAATATGTGAGTTTGTGTGTTTGTGTGTATGTTTGTTACTCAGTAACATCAAAACGGCTGAAGGGACCGTGATGAAATTTGGAGCAAAGATAGATTATGGTCTAGAGAATACATAGATTAAGTTTTACACCTGGAAACGGCAAAGCAGCTGGTGAAAAATAGGTCTTTTGTTGAGTCTGTTGTTCTTCAGGTTTCTTCTATTTGTATTATAGCAATATAACTTGTTTGTATCGTGTGTACACTGTACTGTGTATGTGTCTATATGAAGTTATGTTATTGTTGTGTAAGTTGGTTATTGTTGTATCCTTTACAAAAGTTAATAGGTAACATAGCTTCAGTAGCAAAATAAGCAAAACAAGAAAAGTATTGAAAGACAAAAATATTTATTGTAAAATTTCGACAATATTCCTAATTTAAACAGCGTTTGCGACGATCCAGTCGGAGTATGGAGACACGCCAGTGGCAACCAAGGGGTAGTTTTCACCGTAGGGACTGCCGAATGAGACGAAACCAACCAGGATACCGTCGTAGAAGATGGGAGCACCACCGTCTCTCACACCGAAGTGAGTACCAGCGGCAGCAGCAGAGCTGACGCAGACCATGTTGTCGGTCACTTCAATGGGGAGCCGCAGAGATCCGTACTTCTCAACGCAGGCGCTGTGGTCAACGGTGTACAGCTGGTTGCTGTACAAGTCACGGTCAGACCAGATCACATCTTGCTATGGGAGAAGAATAAACATATGAAATCCAACGAAATGAATGGAGTACAGTTTTAAATTATGAATATTGTGTTCAAAGTGCTACTTACAGCAGTACGTCCCCAGCTAGCCAGGACAACGGGAACATTAGCAGGGAACACAAGACCGCTAGCGGTGATGCTAGCCATCTGGACTTTGGAGCCGAAGGTCAGAGCAGCTTGGAGGCGGAGGATGCCGACATTGTTGTCGAAGCTTTTAAAGCTGTAGTCGGGGTGTCTGATGATGCTCTGGACAGCGTAAACTTCTCCGTCACGACCACGCTCTTCAGCACCGACTCTCACACGGCTGACGCGGGGGGTGAGGGCACTGGAATGGAATTATTATCATAACTGAAGTAATGCTCCATGCTGATCATTAAAAGAATAGAATATTTTCTTACAGAGTTTACCTTAGTCATGTGGTGACAGCAAAGAAGATTATATTTGTCACCTGTGATTTTTATCCTCAGTGGCGTAAGAGTTGATCGAGGGACTACATATTTAATAGAGTCTGGGCAGCAGGGTTTTATAATTGGGTTTTATACCGCGATCTCCAAGCCGCTTGTCAAGCTTGGTAAACCCATCTTTTATAGAAGAGGTCAATAGTTCAATAGTGGATGGTAATAATGAAAGTCTACTTACGTTCCGACCAGGCAATGAGCAGCGGTGAGGACGTGGAAGTTGGTGATGACGGTACCAACACAGGTCTGAAGCCATACGCGTCCAAAGCCTGTCTCAATCTGGGCTATGCTTGGGAAGTCCTCGATATTAGCCTGGGAGGCAGAGAGGACTCCGCTGACACAAAGGCCTGGAAAATTGGAAAATGATGATTGTGTGTGTGTCAATTTGAAGTGGATCAATTCGAAGACCTGTCTTCAAGGATGGTGCCACAATAGAATTACAGAAACCCTGGAATCACAGGATAAATAGATCACAGGGTCAAGCCGATTTTGAATTTAGACTTTAACAATTTTGAAATAAATTTTATTTTTACCTGCGGCCAGGATGAGTGTGGCGAAGCGAGCAGACACCATTGTTCCAATACTTTTGACTTTCAGGTCTCCAATGAGTTTCTCAACTTCCACCCGACTATTTATACCAAATTTTCAGCATTTGCTATCAACATTATCTCTCACACTATTGTGTGTTTTAATACATTTCCATTGATTATTTGTTGCTAGTTTTTATCAATGAATTATTTCTAGATTAATGTTTGGTCAATGCAGTTCGGAATTTATAACTGTTTAAGCATTTTAATTTTTATGGCGGTAGCTAGTTGTTGTGCTGTGTCTACAATTAAATAAAATTTAGAAGAGTTAACATCGCGCCTAGACTTTTAAAATTCCTAGTAGGTAATAGCATGGGTTCAGTGTTCCGGTGTTTTCATGGTTGTATCTACTGTAGATCCTGGCTTACAGGAGTTGCAGCGGTTTCAGGATGTTGTAGCGGGCTTGTCCCATAAAAAAATCATAGGTTGTCCAGCTTTGCCTATGTCTACATTAAAATAAAAAGTGTGATGATTTACATTAATTTATGTTAACTGAGATAAACGTAAAAGCTGAGTATAATTTAGTTTCGTAGTAGTATTTATTTTAAAAAATTGGAGTAGACTCGCTTGTGTCAATGCCACACTCAGCCAGTATATTTCAAAGTTAACAGATGATGTTGATTATTAGGGATCGAAGAAGATATGTTTATGTAGACGGCTAAACAAATGTTATTGAAATTATATCACATTAACAGCCTATAAGTACCCACTGTTGACCAAAGGGTTCTTCTCACATGGGGAAGGTTTAAGCATGAATTACCACGCTTACTTAATCCGTTTTATTTTGAGGGAGGTAAATCATTCAATGACTTCTCCCACCCAAATGACGCGAGAGGGAGTGTCAGACCCTTACTGACTAAAAAGCACCTCGTTCCTACTCCTGCACTTCGAGCCGGAGTTAAGCCTTTCGTGGCTCCGTATCAGCATCAGGTTCTATTGGGCCCCATCAAAAATAATATTTAATTAAATTAAAATTTCACTTAATAATTTAAAATTTATATTATTTAAATTTATAGTATAAATTATATTATAAAATTGTAGTAGTAGTGGTCTAATGGCTTTTTGTGGCGTGCGCGGATTTCTGGTCGGGCGGCGAGTCACCCGTGCTCGCCGTCCTCAGGGCCGAGCTTACGGTTTCAGGAGATCGTCTCACGATCCCCGACGCCTTCACGCGTCGCGCTTCCACCTTAGCTAGCATTACTCAATCGGATTGGCGGTTTCAAACTTATAGTTAGAAATAAAAAGCCTAAGTTCCTGACAATGTTTTCTTTCACCATGTGGTGTCTAAATACATAATCTTAGAAAGTCCGGGCGTCTTAGAAAATCTTAGGACGCGCCGGACTTCAATGTTCCAGAGTTTTCATGGTTGTATCTACTGTAGATCCTGGCTTACAGGAGTTGCAGCGGTTTTGGGAGGTTGTGGCGGGCTTGTCCCAATAAAAAAAAAATTTTAGAAAGTACACATATAACGGTTTCAAACCCGCACTCTCATACATGCAAAGCTGACCCGGGGCCCCTCGACATGAAATTACATAAAACGCAAAATTAATAATCGTGTTACCTAATATTCCTTAACTATATACCTTAACTCAATCACAATTTAGCTTCAAACATATCAAATATGTAGGGTCACATTTTTTTACTAAAACAAAAGTACTGTTATTAAAGCCATTCTTCTTAGTATAACTAAATAAGGTTTTTGAAACAAATATTTATTATTCCAAACGTTGTTTTCAAACCTACGTAATAAAGGAAAACTTATATTGTACCTACCGCCTACATTAATATAAAGGTTATTTTCTTTTGTTTCATTCTGAATCAAGATTTATGATATTTAAATTTTAAGCTAAGTTACGTTTAGTTAAGTTACCTTGGTCCGTCCTTCTTAAATCCTTATTAGTCTAATCTTAAAATTGTGCCTTATAATACCGACTTCTTCTCCTATTCCTTCACGGTTTATGCTATGAGATTGTGAAATTCTCTGCCGCCTAACATTCGAGACGCTAAAACTATCGCTCTCTTTAAAAAGCTAATTAAGGACCATTACCTTTCTACATGTATTTAATATTTGTTGTTATTATTATGTATTAAGTATTTATATTATATTTACTTATAATACAGTTATTATTTTGTTTTAGTTTTAGTTTTTTATACATATTTCTTATCGTATTTTTTTCTCTTCTTTTACAAACTGTGTCTCATGTTTTAATTACATTTCCTGTCTCAGGTCTACTGGAAGAAATTCCAACAGGAATAAGTAGCACCTATGTAATCTTATTTAATATATCCTCTTATCTGTTGATAGTTGCGGGTATAATGTGTTTTACACCGGGAGCCGATGTTTCAACAGATAAAAGGCACCTTGTTCTGTTTCTATCATGATCCTCATCATATCCACCACAAGTCGTCTACTGCTTAATATAGGCCTTCCCCAATGAATTCCAGATAGGTCGGTTTTGACAACGACCAGCATCCAATAGTTTTGTCGGCTCTGCTCGTCTGTCCTGAGCTTCAATATTATTAAAATGAGTGCCTTTGATGAGATATTGATTGTGATGTCACAATACTCAATTTGAAACATTAGTAGCCACACAAGATCTGTATTCAATTTCGTTTTGGCATAAGTTTTTCAGACTCTATTCAACTTCTATCGAAATATCATCTCCTGCTTCTCCTCCTCCTCATTCTTCCTTCTTATTCTTCTAAATCTTCTTCTTTTTTCTTCTTTTTCTAGATTCTTTAGATGTATTTAATTAATGTCGCTTTTCAACCTTTGTATTTCTTATCATCTATCTATATCATCTTGGTCATGAATGAATTTACTTTAATCTTATAATCGTGGAAAGTGTTAGCAATATAATATTATCAACCAAATAGGCATAGTTACATTTTATTTAAAAATATATCGAATGACTTTATTTAAAGATAAATTTCAGTCAGTATGAGAATGGAAAATAAAGTTAAAAATAAATATGAACTCATACCTTATTGGTCGAGTGATGTACCTATTGTGGCATACCAGGAGTATCACAAATCTAAAGAATTCATGGAGACCAGAGAGGGATAATTATTTTTTTTCTTTATAATTGATGGAGCGACGTTATACCACTATCTCGCTTGGTGGTAAGCGATGATGCGGTCTACGATGGAGCACGTCGTCCCATAAGCAACCTATTCACTCGGGCCTTGAAGACTCCCAGGTTATACCCTTCAGAAAATACAGACTCTGGCAAAGAATTCCACTCTTTAGCAGTACGCACAAGGAAGTTTGAAGCGAAGCGCTTCGTGCGTGTGGGTGGAACATAGATAAAATCACACTCAATCGGTGACACATGAAGTTGATAAATCTTGATGAAGCAAAAGAGCAGTAGATTCGCCTCTTAGCTTAAGAGCTGCCTCCCCACTGTGACAAGCGTGACTACATCCCTGTAAGAATTTAAGTGCTCCATGTATAGCAATATTAAATTTACCTTCAGTTGCTACTTACTTGGTCCGCTAGGTAACATAGCTTTACAAAACAATAACTAGACGTTGGGCTGGGCCATCCAATGCAAAAGGAATTTGCCAAACCTGATTAACAGTTCCGGAGATTAGCGCGCACAGGCAAACACCAGTGCATACTTTTTTTTTATTATATTAGATATTCTTTTTCTCCGCGGACTCTTGTGTGTGCCCTTGTCATCCAATTACATTTTCTTTTATTTTACAGTCAAAATTAATGGTTAAAATAATCTTAGGTGATATCTACATATACACAATACATGTTTTATTACATTTACCCTACGGGATCGGCACACCCGCGCGATGAGCGAGCCGACCTGCCACAGCAGAAGGCGCCCGTTCACAAGCATGACGTGAGGGCCAGCAATCGGTCCGATCACAGCGCCACTGACTGTAAAACATTTAAGAATGCATGACGTCTCTGCTCACGCGGCATTAAGCCGATTCCAGCAGCTGTAGCCAAATGCCATTTAGCGCTTGTCTACATGTAGAATAGAAAACCAAATTGTATGGAATTGACGTAAATTTTGACACTCGTCAGTGTCATCCCCATACATTTTGATTTCTACTCTCTCTGTAGTGTTTGGCTAGAGGCCCTGGGCCTTTAGCCAAACGCCACTTTAGCGCTTGTCTACAGAGAGAGTAGAAATCAAAATGTATGGGGATGACACTGACAAGTGTCAAATTTTACGTCAATTCCATATAATTTAGTTTTCTACTCTACATGTAGACAAGCGCTAAATGGCATTTGGCTACCACTGCAGTAGTGCTAATGGATTTTTGCAATCTTATTTATTAAATTACATTATGTATTGCTACCTGTGCATTTTCATTACATGTTCTACCTATAGCCTCACATATAAAACGAGGTTGCAAATAGTGGTACTTCTCTCATTCAAAGCTAACTCACACACAGATCTGTTTCGACAGTCGAGTAGAGTGAGTTAAGAATTTTAAAAATTGAAATCTTCTTTACTTCGTCCCGCTATCGGAGACTTGGACTCGTGACTATTTACTCGAGCTAAGTACGAAACAGGCATTTATATTGAATGGCTTTATTTAGCTTGCCCCGTTTGTTTGGGTCAAATTGTGTCATTGAAATTTTAACTCTGTCTTGACGACAGATCAATCTAATATTTGACATAATTCCTAATCTTTGGATCTAATGACCATACAATTTAATCTAGTTATTTCCGTAACTATCTCGTCATAATATGGATATCAAACGTAAAGGCTTGATTCGTAGAAGTAGAATGGAAAAATACAGAGAGTATAGTTCCCTAAGATCGGAAAAGGAGGATCCTCCGACCAGGCGAGGTGATCGTGCCTGGCGGGCTTTCTGCCTAACAGTTGTTCGTTGGGATTTTCTATCCGTTTTAATTTGCATGTAAACTTTGCATGTGCGATGTAGGATTCTTGTGACGTCATCCGTTGACATGTGGCTTGCGTCGCCACATCACTCCCTCCCAAGACCGGAGGTCGATC